CCTTCCCTAAGGATGGTGTGATAGGTGACATCTCTTGGACCAAGCCATTGCTCACACCTAACTCCCAAGATGGCTCCCAACTCTCTCTGCTAGCATATAGAATACCTCCTTCTTTGTAGCCCCTTATGGTGGTTTGAATGAGGTTGTCCCCCACAGGCTCAAGTATTTGAATGCTTCATCAGTTGGTGGAACTGTTTGTGGAAATCATTGGAACTTTTAGCAGGAATAGCCTTGCTTGAAGAAGCACATCCCTGGGAGTTGACTTCGAGACTTCACAGTCCTGCCCCACTTCCTGTTTCTGTTTCTGCTTTCTGCTTGTGCTTGAAGATGTGTGAGTTTAGCTCTCTGCTCCAGCCACCTCTGCTGCATTGCCTCCCACCATGGTGGACTCTTATTCTGCTGGAGCTGAAATCCAAATATATTCTGAAGTATAAATGCCTGGACTTAAAAGGGCCCTGAGCTAACTTCCAAAAGGCCCCTTACTGGATTAAGCAAACTTTCCTTAGGTAAACTTCAGTTTCCAACCCAGGAACTATGTAAAACTGCCATCCCAGAGACTGTGATATCTGGGAAAACAAATAACAGCCCCTATTGTCTCAAAATCACCAAACTGTGTCACTGGCACTAGTTCTACCCACCTCCCCACGTCACAATCCCCGAATCCTATAAGCAGCCTACCAACTGTGCCTGAAACAGTTGCCACCTTCATTGTTCTTAAGAGCAGTCTGTTCCTGAGGTCAGTCTCACCTTTCATTTTCATGTCACCCTGGTCAATCCTGATGTAACATTTTCGAACATATTCTTCTATTATTTGCCTTGGTCACAGCAGAAGAATAGTAGCTAAGACAACTAAGACAGACATTGGTACCAGAGAGTGAGCTGTTGCTGAGAAGAAACTGTTGTTTTTTGGAGGTACCTAGAAGACTTTGGAAGTTTGGATTAGAAAAGCAGTTTAATGCTGTAAGCAGAACTTAATATGCCATTTTAGTAGGTCCTGGACTGAAGAGGCCTGGGTCAAGATATTTCAGAGTGAGAAGGAAGCAAGGACTTACAGTGACTGGGCTAGAGGCCATTTCATGTGATATTGGGTCACATCCCACTCCTGTCTTAAGACCTTTCCTGTAGCTAAATTAAAAAGTAATGGTCTTATTTCTTTGTTGGAGGAAATTTTAAGATAGTCTGACATTGAAACTGTGGATTGGTTATTACCGATAAATGTTATGCTGGTGTATAATAAAAAAGAGCAGGTGAAGGAGATAGAACTATAAAATGCACAGTTTGGAGAGAAAAGGAACACTAGGAAGTTTAATGTTGCAGCCCAGGAATGTGCTGGAAGAGAGACTGTAATTAATATGGAGATTAGAGTCATTAAGAAGAAACCTCCTGCTCTGCATTCAAACAGCTGGGAAGGACTGCCTCCTGGCATCCTCAGGATAAATCACCTTCCTGCTAAGCTTCCAACTTGTGAAAGGAAAAGGCCCAAGAATTTTCGCTCCTAGAAAACACCTGTGTACAGAAGCTGATGCTAATGATACCAAAGGGAGACAAGGTTCATTCCAAGCTGGCAGCTGAACTCAGTGGCCTCTACATGATACTGGTTTTAGAGACATGAAAGATGGAAGAGTAAGGGCATCATTGATTCTTCCTCTGAGGTTTCAGAAAGCTGTTCAAGTGTGGCAGCATGCAGTCCTTGTGTTAAGAGATCCCTCACAGGCCAAGAGGCCCTGAAAGGTTATTTCATGAAGCTGTGGAGGTGAAGCCTGGGTTGCACTGGAGACTCCTGGATGTTGGAGATGCCAGAGCCTATTCCCCTGCCAAGGAGAGCTACTAGGGAGTGGAACTAGCTCAAGATCAAGAAGCATATGTGGCAAGTAGCAAAACTGGAGGGGCAGAGCCATTTAAGCCCGTTGAAACTAAAGTCCCAGACACTGGACATGAAACTTTAGGATTTTCCATTTGCACTGCTGGTTTTCAGTCTTGCTTTGGTCCTGTATATACTCATCATTTTACTCTTCCCGTCTTTTAGAGTAGAAATGTGTATTCAGTTCCTTTGTATATTAGAAATATATACTTTGTCTTTTCCATTTTACAGGTATTACAGTTAATAAGTTGCCTTAAGTCTCAAAAGAGACTTTGGACCGCTGAACAATTTAGAGACTGTTAAAGACTATGGGGATGTTTAAAGATAGACTAAATGTATTTTACATTATGATGTGACTGTGAGCCTATGGGGGCCAAGGCCTGTGATGTGATTGGGGGATTTGAATGAGAAGTGTCCTCCAAACCTTAACAACAACTATGCCTCTCCCCCAGCCAACTGGTTCAGTGTATATACCTTTGTGTTCCAATATCCAGAACATAGCACTCCCTCCCAATAAACAAATGGTAACTGTTAGACTTTTGTTTCAATTTCCTCTTCTGGCTCAAGTTCTTACCCTAACAGATGCCTCCTCTAGTCCCTCTACTGCAAGGTTTGGTGTCTCGTAGGCCCTAAGTCTCCTTCAGATAGCCTCCAAAACCAAACTGACAGGCTTGCAGGTGTCATTCCCCATAACTGTAGAACATCAGTCCTCATCATCATCCAGAAAGAGATCCCTTGTTTCCTTCTTCAGGAATATTGCTATTTCAGTCCAGAGTAGTCCTCCATGGCTAGTGTCATCACATAGCCAAGTAGGAAACCAGTCTTTATTTCCATCAACTGATGAAGGATGAAGAAAATGTGGTAAAAATGTCACTATGTAGTGACATATCCTATTTAGCTATAAAAAATAAAATCCTATCATTAGTAGGAACATAAAGGAATTGAGAGAACATTATGCTAAGTAAATAAACCAGGTAATTAAAGACAATTGCCACCTGATCACACTTATTTGTGAAGTCTAAACTAGCTAATTTTACAAGAGTGCAGAAGCTGAGGAAGGTGAAGATTGTAGCTTGGAGAAGGGTTGGTCAGTGGATACAAATGGCAGAATATATTCTATCATTCTAGTGTACACTGATGGGGCTATCATCGACAATATTATATTTACATTTAAAATAGTGAGAACAGAAGACTTTTAAATCTCCTTACCATAAACAGTCTGTGCTTGATGTACTAAATACTGAGATCACTGTACATGATATATGCTTACATAGGACATTAAAATGTGCCCTATAAATATGTCCAGTTGTTATTAAAGTATAGTTAATTTAACTGTTTTTAAATATGCAAACCCTAAGGCAATATGATGCAATAGATTTTGTATTTTTCCAACTTGTGGGCTCAACCAGAAATCATCCTGGTTTGCACATCAATGGGAAGTAGAAGGTTACAATCACAATTGGGCACATATTTAATATGACAGAACAAATTCTTTAAACTGTATTAGTGATATGTTTTCCTAGACTACCTTTTGTAGCTATATTTTTTATAAATAAGTATGAGAGAACAGAGTAAATAGATACAAATAGGAACTGAGATGAGAGAGAATTTGAGGAGATAACAAAAGCATGTGCTTCATTAGGACCATATTGATAATGATAACCTACCTGTATTACCTAAAGAGTTAACCACTAGGTTTATTCAGAATTTCTATGCTATATTCTAAGCTGTCTTGTGTTAAAGCTTCCCAATAATTCTGAAAGTTAGGTATGAGATTTGTGTATCAAATCTTTAACTCTATAATCCTTAAGTATTTTACCCAAGCCACAGGACCATTCATCTGAAAAGATACAGCAAGGACTTAGGGATATGATTACTTGATCAAGGCTACTGCTTTTTAGCACAAACTGAATCTCATCAAGACTGAGTCCATTATTTCAATGTCATTTAATCATTCAACTCTTCTAAGTGGCATGTGAAACAGCCTCTGAAGATGAGGTCCCTGGACCAGAAAGGGAGGCTACACATTCCTTCTTTCTTCAAGACAGTCATATAAGATGCCCTGTGTGTCTCCACGTGAACCAAACACTGTTCTTCACTCTGTTCAGTTGTGTGCCCTGCTATTTGGCTACTGGGAGGCTGAGGTGGAAGGATAACTTGAACCCAGGAGTTCTATGCTAACTTGAGCATCATAGCTCCATTCTGACTCAAGCAAAGCAAAATAAACTCTGCCTACATTGTGCTTTTTGTTAGAAATTCAGTGCTAAGTTACATTCTACTGGTTGAGTTGGTTTCCTGTTTCTGTAAATTAAACTTTATCAGACAGGTCTGTTTCTAATTTTTTCCACACAGATACTTTGTGAAGTTTCCAGGATTTACTATCTGGCCTTCAACAAAATATTTTCCTCCTACTTCAGACCTTCCTCGAGGCAGCAGAGAGTGAAGGACTATGATTTTGTGCTTCTTGCATTCACTGGGGTGGTGGGAGGAACAAGACTGTTTCCAGTATTGTAGTCATCCAGGTCTAACCCTCCAAATGACAAGATTTGAGAACCTCTAGTCCTGATACTTGCCCTAGGAGGGGCAGATGAGAACCCTGGATGCCATGATTAACTTCTGTGAGGTATGGCGTAATGACTCCTCCGCTAACACTCCACGTGGAGATGAGTGGAAAGACACAGAGACCTCATTGGGTAGAATGGGTCTGTTTGTGAGGGAACTCCCTTCTGCCTCTCTTCAGACCCTCAAGGTCACTTGGAGGATACACAGTGAACATTTCATTCTTTCCTAACTTTCCTCTATCCCAGTTCAACTAATTTCATTTCACATTAAAAAATTATGAATGCCAATGAAGAGCACAATAAATCACTCAGTTTCAGTTCAGTTAATAAGTAGGAAAAAATCCTTGTCTCTCGGGAATAAAATCACAAAGATTCTCTGTCTCTATGGCACCAAATGCATTTGGAAAAGGTTTTCAAAATATCCATAGACTGTGTGTGCTGAAGAGATTATTCAATTAAATTAGTTCATACAATTATCATTTTTGAAATTCTTGATAGACATATTTTAGGAAAGTGCAAAGCAGTATTTCTCAGAGTCACTGTATAGAGCTGTAATCTGGAAACACTTAATCACTTACATGTCTCTGGGATCCATCATATTCACACCTTTCAATTTTTCCCAAGCTGCCGTCTGAGAAATACAGCTTCTCGGCTCGGTGGTCGATGGTGAGTCCGTTTGGGGTAAGTATTTCTGTGCTGACTACCACGTGTGCATTCTTCCCAGTCAGGGTGGCCCTCATGATACTGGGATGATGTTCATTCCAGTTGGTCCAAAACATTAAACTAATTAAAGTCAAAATCATAAGAACAATTGACTATTTTCATTTAGAATGAAAATTAGTAGAAACACAATGCTGTAAAGTTATTTAATATTTTCTTCATAGTCCTGACACCATGAAATTGTAGTTATGAAAGGGAGATACAGATATTGTTTACAGAAATAGCTTCCAGATTTCCCTTAACAATCTGAGAATGACTAATGGAAACGCAAGTGTCCTATGCATTCCTTCAAGTATCAGTTTAATTAGGTTGAGCCAGTCTCATGTATAATGAAGGTTCATTTTAATCAGGAACAAATCAATCTTAAATTTTAAATGAACTCTATTTTTTATAATTACAGCTTAAAGCCTAACATTAATGTCACATTTCAGTACATCCCTTTTGATCCCTGTGGGCAAGCAGGCAATGGTTAAGCTATCTATATTTTTCTTATCAAAGATGAAAATCAAACTCCCCTACCCTCCTCTATAAATTTTGCCTTGGAAATGTCTACATTTCCATCTGCATAAGTTTTAGAGAAATAAAATTACCAAATTACCATATTTCTATAATTTATGTTTTTGTTTCCACTCGGTACAATTTAAAAAATATATCATGCTGTGCTTGGTGACACAAGCTTTTAATCCTAGCACTTGGGAGGTAGAGGCAGGTAGACTGCTGTAAGATTGAGGCCAGCCTAGTTTATGCAGTGAGATTCAAGTCAGCTGAGGCTACACAGTGACACTCTGCTTTAAAAACCAAAATAAAATAAAAATTTAAAAAGTAAATAAAAATAAATGACAACTTTTTTGGAATTCTGAGGTCTTTTAAATCCTTGACCACAATCTTGAACACTAATAGATGTTACAGAATGTTTTACATTAATGTCTATCAAACTATACTGGGAGGAAGTGCTAGCATCCCATGGAAGTCCTTAGAGGTCACCAGAAGTGTACAAAGACTCCAAGTTTTGTTTTCACTGAAACAGCTCTTCTTCTTCCTGTATCAATAGCACTCTTCCTAAGCGTTTAATTGAAAAAGGTTGTTACTGCATAGAAAGAAAGAGGGAAGTGGAGGCGAAGGAAGAGGAGAAGGCTAGTAGATTGGCTGCTTTAAATATAAAAAAATCCTTATAGTAAATAAGAAAAACTACTAAAATAATACTTTTATTAGTGACCAGGTTGCCTGCACACAATATATAATAGCTCAAAGTCAATTTAAGATTATAACAACCAAAAGTACTCAATATCTTTTGTGAGTATTTTTTGAAAACATTATTGGACAATATTAAAATTCACAACAGATATTTCTAGTCACTAATTTAAAAAATATGCCACATCCATCTCTGGTCTTTGTTAACACATGACATTTCATTTCCCTCAATTCTAAGGAATATAGACTTGTTCTGTTTATGAATGAAATAATTCACACAAAAAACCCACAAACTATCAACAGTACTAACAATACATTGATTTTTTAAAAGGAATATTTAGTTAATTAAAATAATAAAATCAATGCACATAATGTATGGTATTAAATTCATGATTTATCTGCAGTATTTTCCTGTAGAGTTAGTGTTAGGATTTTGGAGGTGGTGTTTTCCTTTCATTTTACTTCTCATGTAAAAGATGAGAAAACAGAGGACGGCCTGAGAGCTGGAGAAATCTAAGTTTAAAGGAATTACTACTATCTAAGTTTTGAAATAAAATAGTCTTTTATTTATAATTTATACTTTCACTTTAAAATATCTGTTGATCAATTAGCAAATAGTGTTTTGAAAGTATCATTGACAAATATGATGATAAAAGTGAGACAATTTTGTTTTAAATATTAATTACGATTGACTTTCCATGTAAAATACTTTGGTGTGCTTAATTCAAAAATACAGCTTGCTAAACTCAAGAAGAAAGTAAATTTCAGCCTATTTGATAGATAATTTTACCAAGATGAAGCAGTCCTTGTTCATACTAATAGCAAATAGCAGCATGCGTGATGTACCCGTTATTATTTTAATTTATCTATAAACCTTTCACTGGTTCCTTTCACTTTTTCTGTAGGTCATTTGTGACTGTGCTGAGATTCCTCTCGTGAATGGTGGAGCTGTAGGTCACTGACATAAAATATGAGCTCTGTGGTGGCAGTGCAGTGGTATGAGTAGGATCTGCCGAGCATCAGAAAGCTGGTGCCTGGTGCCCCTCTGCACCATCCCCCTAGCCATAGGATGGGTCATTACATCTTCCAGACATCAGAATTTTCATTGTCAGAGAGTGCTCAGTTAATTGAATTAGGTGTCACCTGTTCAGCTCTATGAGAGCCAATACCTTTCACACTATGGTAGTTTGAATGAGAAATTTTTCCCACAGGCTCAGGTGTTTCAACATGTCCCTAGTTTGTGGTGCTGTTTGGGGGAGGTTATGGGACATTTAGGAGGTGTAGCCTTGCTGCAGTAAGCACGTCACCAAGGCTGGCTTTGAGAGTTCATAGTCTTGCACCCCCCCTTCCAGCTCCCTCTCTGTTCTGTTTAGCAGTTCAAGATATGAGTTCTCAGCTTCCTGTTCCTGCTGCAGTGTCTCCCCTCCATGATGGGCTCTGATCCCTCTGGAACTATAAATCCAAATAAATTTTTTCTTCTGTAAGTTATCATTGGTCATGGTGTTTTGTCATAGCAACAGAAAAGTAACTAGTACACACTGAGAAATTTATGTGATCCTTCCTTCAGAGGAAGGTTTGGAGTCTGTGATCATCTGTAATGACTTTTTATGGTTTTAAGGTACACGTGAAACGAGCTTCTGATTCTGCTCACGTGAGACTAGATTGGTCTGTATTTGCTCATTTATTTAGGGTTTATACTGAGTATAATATTGTATAACTGTATTAATTCAACTGCAAACCTAAAAATTTACAGCCAATTTTAAAGAGATGCATCTTAGCTCTGAAAATTGTTATTGACTATGTCAATGCTGTTGTAATGAAATGCTTCTTCTAATTATGTGGTTATTAAATAAACAATTTAAAAAAAGAACAACACATGATTTTTACCTTAACAATCTTACCATATGAGAGTGAAACACAGTGTATGCATTTCTACCTAACCGTGCTTTGTGCTTCAGTCTTCTATGTAAAGGCTTCCTTTAAGATAGCTGTCATCTCTGCCATTTTTTTTCTTATTTGCTTTATTTTTATTTACTCAGAATCATGCCTGACATATTCCTTTGTTTAATTATGTCACTATTTATATGCCTGGACAATATATCAGCAAATAGATGCAGTAGAAAAAATAACTACACCCAAAAATCATTTTATTTTTGTTTGTTTACTTTGTATTTCATTTGTCTAGAAGCCCAGTTATTAAGATTCACTGATAACAATGAAAGGGCAGCCATTTTTAGGCATCTATATATGTATAGTTCCTTTCCAAATTTACAAAGCAATGTTCTTTTCTCACCATAAAATTGTCTCTATTTTCACTTTCATCATTCACCCACTTTTGTAATAAAAACTCTCGTAGAGATGACATCTGACATTTAGGTAAACTGTTCACATTACAGCATTCTCATTAAAGATAACAAGATTTATGAATAATGAGGAAGGAACTGAGGAAACAGCTATTTTAAAGCTAATCCTTTTTAAAATTAATATAACTTTCATATTCTTCTGACTGTGGTACAGAAATAATAATAAGGCTTCTTACTTTTGGCATTCATCCAAGGCTAACACATGAGGGTGGTCATCCTCAGACATGGTGATGACTGCTTCTCTGTCAAACGCTCCAGGCTTAGTCTGGTCCACTGTGTGCCTGGTGATGGATGATGTAGTGGAGCTGGTCCAGTATAGAGTATCCCAGGCTCTGTGGTAGGCAAGTCCCTCAACTGAACCAACATCTAATGGAGGAAAATCAGACAATAAATGCATATTTTATATAAAAATTGTTTCTGATAGAAACATCACTGAAGATAAATACCAGCAGTCTAATTTTATTAATCTTTTCACCACAAACTCTGCAAACTAAAAAGAAAAATGCAATATAAGTATTATCTTATGACATACTAAAATATAACTGAAGGAATGACTATAGATAGATGGATGGATAGATATATAAATAGATAGATAAGCATACATATACATGCCATGAGAGCAGTCATTGTGAAAGAAAGCATTAAATAATCTTTTCACCAAATGTGAAAAACAGAAATATTTACCTTTCATGCAGGAAAATATGATAGTCTCTATTTAGAATCTTAATAATTAATTAAAAAGTATGTGCAATATAATGATTAAAAATATATTGATGCTACAGATCTGGTGATATCATGCAAAACCAAACATAGCAAAGTGATAGCAACATCAGAAAGGCAAATTCAGCTCCCTGCCTGCAACTGTCAGTGATGGGAGACATTGTTTTAATGAGCTAACATGGCAAGGTGTTTGAGTCTCTTCTGCTACGGTGATAAACAAGCAAAAAGAAATGAATTGCCAGCTAAAGCGTTTTTTAAATGTTGTCAGACATTAAGATGAGTGGTGGGACACAGATCCTAATGCACAAAGGGACAAGGTTAGAAACAAGTGATTATGTCTTAAACCTGTGACTCAACTACCAGGGGCTAGACCAGCTCTTTTAATTTTCAGAGTTTGATTGCCTCTTCAGATAGAATCAAACACCTACTTTCCTCTGCTATCATCTTCCTTCTTGCTACTCTTCTCCCATGTCCAGTGTTAACCAAGGCTGTATACACATTATGAATTCACATTAAGAAATCAGCATTGTGTTCTACTATACACCTTCCTTAAGATATCTCTTCCCCTTCTCACAAATTATTCCTTTCTAGTTTCCTAGATTCTAGAGATACTCCAAAGTAAATACACAAAGCTTAAGATTTATTGCTAATGTCTACATAGAAGGAAGAGCATGTCTTTCTGGGTTTGGGTTATTTTACATCCATCTATTTACATGAAAATTTCACAATTTCATTTTTCTTTACAGCTGAATACAATTCTATTGTATGTAGGAAGCACATTTTCATTACATATTCTTTTTAATATTTTATTTATTATTTTTATATTTTATGTGTATGCATGTATTGCCAGCATGTACGTAAGTGCACCCGTGTCATGCAATGCTTGCAGAGGTCAGAAGAGGCTGTCAGATGCCCTGGAACTGGAGTTACAGACAGTTGTTAGCTGCCATGTGGGTGTTGGAATTCGAACCTTGGTCTTCTGCAAGAAAATTCAGTGTTCTTAGCTGCTGCGGCATCTCTCCAGCCCCTTATTACATATTCTTCAACTGATGGACATCTAAGCCGTTTCCATGTCCTAGCTGTGGTGAATAGGGCAGCTATGAACATGGATAAACCTGTGTTTCTATAGCAAAAATAGAGTACTTTGGGTCTATGCCCTGGAGTAATATAGCTGATTCATATGATAGATGTATTTCTAGTTTTCTGAGGAACCATCACACTATAGTTTAAGTGGGGAAAGGGAAGGGAGGGTAGGGAGAGCAGGGAGTTGTTACATAAGGGATAAACTAATTCTAAAGATATAATATATGTTATATACATTATATATATATATATATATGTGTGTGTGTGTGTGTGTGTTTTATTGAAGTTACTCTACACAGGGCATTGCGCTCGTCCCAGAAGTTGTAGGTTGCCAAATAAAAAGCCTAGTGCCAGGTGTGCAATACCTCTCCTCAAGTTGTTGGGCAGTGGTGTTCTAAACACTCCCAAAACAATACACTATGTTGCCATTGCTTTTGGTTGCCCACTAGAACTTGATGAAAAGAACCTGCTGCTGAAGGCATCACACATGTTTGTCAAGGGAGGTTGAATCAAGTTGGTACTGACCAGGAAGCTTCCTCCCTGCTGGCTAGTTCTCACAGTACTGGAAGGTGCTCTGCAGAACATTTAGGGGAGGGTGTTTATCAACAATCTTACCCAGATTTTAACCCTGTGAACTGCAATGATGTTAAGTGTGGCAAGGTATGCCCATGGGTGCAACAGTAGCACAAATGTTATGGGGGTAACCACCCACATCCAGATTGGATTTAAAGCCACTTCACAAAATGAAGCACATGCTTGTTATTGAAAATCTAGCCAAGGACCCATGGTTGAGGAACTCACAGGCCCCAGGTGTGAACCTACCACTATTACTTTGCTTAACTGACATAGTATCAAACTACCCTCTTGGTCCTTGTCAGAGAAGTTTCTTTCTGCAGTGGATGCTGGTTAACACTGAGACTCAGTGACTGTGGAATGCTCAAACACAAACAGAACATCTATATCACACCACTTTCTAAAGTTCAGGGACCATCATGGAAGAGTGAGTAGAGCTACCGTAAGAGCCAGAGGATGGGAACAATCAGTGTCTTCTGGACATGACAGGACAGCTGCACTTATGAACACACAGCAACTACGGTTACCTGTACAAGACTGGCTTAATATGAAGCCAGTCAACATTCTAGCATTGAGAAAGGGGATTCCTGAGACCTTACACCTGACTGAGGAGCTTTTGACAATTGATGGTTTTGGGGTGAGCGAGAGTCAATTTTCTTAAGAATGTGACTCTTGGTCACCACACACCAGTGGATGGCCCTACACACAGAAGTATATGAACAGAACAAATTGGGGTCGATGGGTTACTAATAACTGTTTACAAAAGAAATTGTAACTGTAATATAGTTTATTGTTTTCCTGTCAAGGATATCTCAAAGGAAGTATCCAGGTCTTACAAAACCAGTATATGAAAAGGGTTATTTTCAGGTTTCAAATGTGTATATAATTTGGACTTCAATAATTAAAGTTTTTGAACCAGGTTTCATGCATATGATTAATTTGCTCTCACATTTTTATATTTTCTGCTTGCAACACAGATCTAGGACTGTCAAAATAGCTACCACTATTGTGCACTGACTAGGTGCTGCAAATGATGCAAGTTGTTTTGCACAGATCATTTTGTGAATAAACTCTACAAAGTTTATTTCTTATCTTCTTTTTCTAAGGAAAACAAATTTATTGGCACAGGTTTGATAATATTAATACAAAAATTTTACTCCAGGTTTATCTGCTTTCAAATCCCTACACTCTTAATATCACTCTCTTTGGAGAAGGGTAGGAAAAGCATATTGTTTACTCTCAACTGACAGCAACACGGAAACAAATAAACGAGTCTCAACTTGTGACTCTAGGGAAATTGTATAAAAGTTTGCCATGAGCAGCCTCCACTCACACAATAGTTAATAAGGAACTGATAGGTTGATTAGCCTGACATTTAGGCCAGAGTCAATGGAAGAAAGATTGCAAAACACAAACACAAGGAAATCTCTTAAGGTGATTTTGTTTGACTCGGATGGTACTCTTGTTGAGAGTAAGCGATTACGTGGTTGATAAGTGTTAACAGTATTTAAAGTATTGAGTAGGAAGCCATCTATTCTGTTGTATTACTATATTTCTGTATTTCTGTATCATTCATAAATGCATAACTTGATTGGTAGTGGTTTCCACATTCTAGTCTTTATCATTCAGAAGTATACTGAGAAATGACACAGCTCTGAACAACTCAGAACATGTAAGAATCATCTGTCCATTCCCCCTGCTTATCCCTGTCTATGAAGGTGGCATGTCGTTTTCTGATCCTCTAGACTATCTCTTGTCAGTCAGAGAGAAATCACGTGGCATTGTAACCAAGAGGAAGCAGATGTTCCTGTTCTATACTCTAGAGCATGGGAGTATGCCTCACTGTCCAGGGACATTCTCTTTGACTTTTGTAGTAGATGTCAACCAGACAGTTGACTTAACCAAAATCTAATGTTATAATTTATAAGACTTCAGTAATATATTTCTTTCTCACAAAGATATTTAATTCCTTAAAACATCAAATTCTTTCTTTACTTTTTTTTCCAATTATGAAAATAGTCTGAGTTAGCATCTTATGATTTTTATCAAATGTGGGATCGTACGGTATGTGAGTATGCACATCAAACACACACATGTATTTGTTTGAGTAACAAAGTTCCCAAATCAAACAGCCAAAATAGGAATTTAGAATATTGATCCTAGCAGACAAATCTATAGTTAGTATAAAATATCTTTTTATCTAGTCATCTAGGCCCTAAATATCAAATCCAGGAAATCAATTCAGTGTTAAATATTGTTGGAACTCAAGGAATAGAAAAGGTATAATTAAGAAAGCAATGATACATGACTATTTCAGCAGTTCCACATTTCTCATTACGAAAATAATTATGTTGGAAATGTGGTGGTTAGTCAGTAAAAACTGCCACCTCACCACGCACCCTTGCCAACAAATTAAGAAATGAGGAATCCTGTTTCCTTAATTCATCTTTAGGGTAGCAATTTGGTTTAACTAAGCATGAGAGAAACCCTAGTCAACTGAACAAAGGTAAGAAAGGAGGACGGCTCATTAAAAACAAACAAACAAACACAACAAAAAGAAAACAATAAAAAAAAGAAAACAAAAGATAGGAAATTCCTCAGAACCATGGACATGATATGGCTTCCTATATTCTGGTGTTCATTTCAACAGTGGAGGCACTATCCTCCTAGCCTGACAAAGATCAGTTTTTGACAACTACCCAAAGGACTTCACTTCATACTCAGTGCAAATCTATCACACTACAACGGATGTAGCAGTGTGCACATTGTTCTAAACACGGTAAGTGTTTATCTACCGGGGAAATAAGTGAAAGATGTGTTTTTGACACGGCTCTTCACCTGGTTAACCTGAATGTAGTGCAAAGTTAACAAGAAAAGTTTATCTCTAGAACATGCTACAACTGCAAAGGGTCATGATGACCTCCTGTTAACTGGGCACTGCTTCCTCTGTCATTGCCGTGTGTCCCAAGCTGCAGGGCATGAGTTTGCTG